TTCCAATATGATCAAGTGAACTATTATAGTCAAATACTGACGTGAATGCCAGTATTTGACGCTACGTTGTAAACTCGACGGCGCTGTTAAATGATGGGATCGGGAGAGTTACTGTACTACGCTGTGAGTCGGTTTCAGTGATGCAAATGTGATGCAAAGAGCAACAGTAGTTATATTAAGCTTCATGAAGTCGTCTTACTCAATCAGCGATTAGATTTTTACTATAATTTTTCAAAACAACTGTTCGTATATTGCTTGTCAAATAGCCTTTGAAATTTACTAACTTTAAGCTAGGTTTTATTTGCGCGATTCTGAACAACTGGTTTGCGGTTATTTGTTTGAGCCAGCGCTGACAAGAAGTCTTTTTGCGGTAGTGCAAAGGGATTAAGAGGACACAATAGGTCTTGACCAGATCCTCGGTGGATGTTTGACATTGTTTCAGGTTTCATGTAACCACTCAATTGTCGTAGTAATTGATGTGTATCTTAATATTGTTTAGTGGATTAGAGTAGTTCACGTTTTATTATAAAGACATTTCATCACTAGTATTATAGTCTAGAATGTAGAGTACAATGCATGTTTATATACTCTGTTTCATGTAGTGCGTTCCATCCGTCCGCCGACTAGGCTGCTCTGAAAGTAAATGCTTTCTTGCTTTGTCTTTTAATTGCCGACTTAAAATGCGTCTCCGGTTCTACTTGTAGCAGAAGTAACAAAATCTTCAGCATAAGTGAAATGAATATCTATTGATATCGATATATTTATAAGTAACCAACCCAACATATAAATAACCGCTAAGGTTATTATTAATTTAAGGAAATTAGCTAAGGAAATTAAATAACCGCTAAGGTTTGTTTGGTTTCAGCTGTGTTACTGTGACGTATTCTCTGTACATTTGAAAGTATTAAACATGTTTTCAATTAGACTTTTAAGTCTTCTAGCGTGGCTAGTTCAATTTGGTTTATCCTCTGTAAGTAATTATCCAAAGGCACCAAGCCGGGAGGACTATGTAGCAATCCTCTCTCTGTAATTTATGTCTTTCAGTTCCGGACCTCTGCACTCTAACTTGACATAGTTTGAATAGTTAATATGTAGGTTTGGTGTTTACTGGCTCCAGCAGCGTTGCTATGGCTGGTAGCCTATCTTATGCTTCTGCTGGATTTGTTTTCGCCGTTCTCTGTAATTCGTACTTAAAAATGTTTCTCTTCTTCGATCCATACTACGCTTGTTTTATAACACTGGAAAGATATTTCTTGTGCGTGTATAATATGACCAATTCTTTCTTGAATCCTTTTATCTAAGTATTTCCATAGTTTATACATACAAGATTTATTTTGTTTTACGCATATGTACGGTACATGCGTTTGTGTGCATAAACATATATATTTTTTAATTATATACAGGATATATTTATATATATACACAGTTCTAACAATCTTGTAAAGCCACTCGCACGCATAGCATATGGACTTGTGTATTAATTAATATGTACTTTGATGTGTTTAAATATGCTTTAGGCATATTCAACTAAGAGGTTCGCGATAAAATCACCCAAGTGTCTAACACACTTACCTGGAAAACGCAGGGAAAGGTCTGAAAAGTTTCCTGGAGTCTGTTCCTGGTATCTTGTCTCTCCCAACATGTCGAGTCTTTGATATCTGCAGAGGCAGAAGATTGCCCTTGGATGTTCAGCGAGGGTGGAGGGGAGGTGATGTGAGCTAGATTCTGGGTACTGCTGGTCGATCAGCCTTAGAAAATATGACGAGGCTTCAAGAGCACTGTTCTCGTCACCCTCCGCCCTGGTATACAGAACATCAATGTGCTGGCGCGCATACATACGCAAGCATGCGTGTATACATGCAAAAGCGGGTTAAGTTTAAGAACGCGGACACAAACAGTATAAGAGAAAGAGATGAGAACACTAGATTTAGAGAAAGACTGGAGAAAGAGAAAACTTTGAGAGAATACTGGATAGTTGTATCAGACCAACCAGGCTGTAGTGGTGGATACGTGGGCCTCAGGCCGGGCTTGGGGAGTAGAAACTCTCAGAACCCCATTCACCAAGGTATAAGGTAGTATACATAACCTATATTTGCCTGAAACTGATATGTAATATCACGTGACCCCAACAATTCACACACACTAGTATATACTTAATATATATTTCTAGCTTGAAGTTTCAGTTTACATTAACTGGTCACGTGTCATGGGTTCATGACACATGGTTCAGACATGATGTGTATGTTAAACATTCTTAAACCTTTGTGTCCCGCTCCTAGACGAGGCTCCTGTGATTGCTCTCATTATATTCAATCGTGAGTTTGCTTTCTCCTTCAGATATTGAATTTGCTTGTTGAAAGTCATTTTAGAATCTATCCGCACTCAGAGATCTCGATATTGTGTAACCCACTAAAGGTCTTGAATGCGTAGGTGGACATGATGCTGAAGCCTTGAGGTATCACAGACGTGATGCTCACCTCGTAGAAGGTGATACCGAGCTGCTAGTTTCCTAGTTCTAAACGTGACCCTGAGTTTTTTTTTTTTTTTTTTTTTTTTTTTTTTTTTTTCCTGCGCGAGGCTCCAAGCCTTTGGCTGGCCTATTAAGTGTTACTTGCTTCTGTTTTGCTTAAGCGGAGTATGAGTATTTATATCTCCTATGGTCGCTTCAGTAAGATTTTGCCCCATGTGTTTAACAACTTCTTCTGCTCTGTTGAATCTAAGTTGAAATCTTATTGGATTTGTAACTGTGCACTGTATTAGATAATGTTTCAGTGGTCTATCGGGCATTTCTCCACAGTGCTGACATTTCCTCTCATCTTCTGGAACCTGTAAGCCTATTTCTCCATGCTCGTGGGTATCCAAACCTGATACGATGTAAGTGTACTTCTCTTGTTCTACTGCTCCCTTTCATCAAAAATAAGTGGGGACCCCGAGCTGATGTTGCCCCTAGTTGAAAATGACCTCGCGTTCACAATTCCACGTTTTAATCAGCAAATTTTAAATGCTGATTTTTTTTCTCTTGGTTTTACATCGCTAACCACTTGGCCTGGACGGTAGAGCGACGATCTCGCTTCATACAGGTCGGTATTCAATCCCCGACCATCCAAGTGGTTGGGCACCATTCCTTCCACCCCCCCATCCCATCCGTAATCCTTATCCTGACCCCCTTCCAGGCGCTACATAGTCGTAATGGCTTGGCGCTTTCCCCCTGATAGTTCCCTCTGTAGCCTATTCAGGATGTAATTCCAGGGGGTTCTCAGAAAGGGTCTTTGATGGCAACGCCGCTCTGGATTACCAGGAAAGTGTTTCCAGCGATTACTTGGGGTGAGGTGCCCCCCCCCCTCCCCCACATTGTCCTCAGTGATGTCACAACGTTGGAGGGACAAAAACCAGACTGGGAACGAAGCTATCGGTGCATAAAAAAAGTAGGATATGAGAATATTGATGACCAAACCACACACATTAGACATTGGATATGATGATCATCATATCTTCAGCCACGTTATTGTGACTCACCATCTGCATGAAAATATTAGTTAATATCTGAAGAGAAAAATTAACATTGGCTGTTTGGAACTAAGAGTCAATTTGAGGAACGAATGTGGTTGACAAGGGAGAACGACGAGGCAGCTGAAACCTCGGTTATTAAGGGAATATAGAGAAAGCAAATTGGTTTCTCCTGACAAGTTTAGTTTGGAACCAGCTGGGAAGATCCGTGAATAGTGTAGCGGAGACAATTGCTAGAATTGATTCCTTTAATGTCATCCATAATAGGGGCTCCTAAAATAGGCTTGGCTTCGTTCTCAACTTACAGTCGGGGATCTCGGGTTCGATTCTCGGGCCTGACAGAAATGGTTGAGTACGTTTCCTCGGGGGGGGGGGGGGTTAGAAATAGCTTAAGCTACTCTATCCTATCCCTTTAAGATTTCTTGTCTCAATAAATATACTTGAACTTGAAGTACATTTCCTTTCACCTAATTCACCTCTTCACGTCGAGGACCGGGGGACCCTAAGGCCCGAAATCACCTCAAGATAACCTGAAGATAGGCATAAATAAGCCCCCCCCCCCTGGAGTTGGGCAACTGTTGGGGGACTGCTTCCTGGGGAGGGTCAGCAGCGCTCGTATGCGCGCTATGACCAAAAATGGACGTACAGTAATTTGAAATGAAATCGGCTCACGAAAGTGATATACTGTCCCGGTTTCTGTTTGAGTCGTCTGGCTTACTCGTTAAGGTTAGGAAAGGAAACTTTCAATTAACATTTTTCATGACGTTTTGAAGCTTTAGGAGAATTTCCTGCCCTCCTAACCCACCGGAGGACCCTTATCTTGCTGTTTTGGAAAAAAAAAATCCAAAATTTATTTTCATTTTTTTTTCCATTTTTCAAATTACGTCCATTTTCGGCCATACTGGAAAACGGCCAAATTCAGAGGTAATTTGTAAGAGGACAGGTGAGGTTTAGCGTCCCCGCGGCCCGGTCGTTGACCAGGCCTCTGGTTGCTGAACTGGTCAACCAGGCTGTTGGACGCGGCTGTTCGCAGCCTGACGTATGAATCACAGCCTGGTTGATCAGGTATCCTTTGGAGGTGTTTAAGTTCTCTCTTGAACACTTGAGGAGTCGGCCAGTTATGCCCCTTATGTGTAGTGGAAGCGTGTTGAACAGTCTTGTATTAAGTGAAGGAATGATCTGCTGTAACTCTGAATTTGTCCATACAAATATTGTAGGCTACAATAGTGAATGAAGAATTTGCATTTTTTAATCCAAGGGTGCTGCTATATTTACTTCTCGCCTGTTATTTAAAGTCTGCATTAAGTAAGGTGACTTTAAATATCACCCCTTCATCTCTCATCCTCTAGAAAAAATGCAAAATTCATGAGTATCATTTTGACTTGACACTTCAGGCTCTGAAGAAGAGAGAGGAAGTCATTGAAATACGAGAAAGGAAACTGAGTAACTTTATAGATTTTAATATTTAATGCATTGTAAGTTACATGGTTACAGGGTAGTTAACTGCCGAGAACAAGAGCGACTGCAAACGCTTTCCACAATGAATCCGTTAAACTAACCGACACGAGGCTTCTTGACACTCTTATCTCCCCCTCGGGACGTGGAGCTGCGAAATAAGTTGTCAGATGGCGGCACCGTCGCCTAAGACTTGTACGGGGTGATGGACTGAGGCGATGATTACCTCAGGACAGTTATCCTGCCCCCCTTACTCTTCCTCCTTCACAGAGTGAAGACGGGAGACAGGCTCTTTTGATGTGAGTGGCTGTAGCCTACTTACCCCTTCCTGTCTCCTTCAGACACCAGACGGCGGTAGGCGTGAATTTGGATATCAACGATGAGATCGTTGGCGATATCGACGCTAGAGGGTTTAGTCTTGGATGGAGGATGTGGGTCGTCCCGGGGCAGGCAGACAGGCCCGCCTCTGGGCTGGATCAGGCCTCCTCCATCTTGCAAGAGCACCGACACAGCCACATCTTGCTGGTGGGTGAGACCTCCCCCCAGCCACACCATACTTCTGTATACACCTGGTTCTGTGGAATAGACCACACATTAGTAACATAAGACGCAAGGAATCCTGCGACATACGAGTGCATTTTTTGTTGGTGAAAGATAGTGGAATATTCGAAATGAATTTGTATTCCGTTTAACGAAACCGTTTTACATTACATTATTTTTATGGTGTAGATATCAGCGCGGTCACTATCACAAGAGCTTTTAATCATCTAATATATTTGAGTTATATATATTATATCTATATCTAATATATTATATCTAATATATTTCTCGACCAGGCCTCCTTTTTGTTACACATCCCCAGGAAGCAGCCCGTAGCAGCTGTCCAACTCCCAGGTACCTATTTACTGCTAGATAACAGGGGCATTAGGGTGAAAGAAACATTTTGCCCATTTGTTTCCGCCTCCACCGGGGATCGAACCCGGAACCTCAGGATTACGAATCCGAAGCGCTGTCCACCCAGCTGTCAGGCGCCTAGCTGACATATACATACAATCATTTACACAAATACATATACTCATCGATAATCTTTTTATACCACAAGTGATTCAACAAGAGGATCACAACAGTCACTATACAAGACACGTGGCAACAAGGAAGAGAGACTTTAGTATTCACTGTGTGACGATGGCTTTTGACAGTCGGCGAGTACATTACGGCCCTTGAAATATTTATACACAGGCTGGAGGAATGGCAAGAGGCCTGCGAGTACTCTGTTGCCCATTTCAGGCATGATCGTGTGAGAAGGGAAAAGTTCAGCAAGTCCCAGCTGTGTCTGGATACAAGTGCCAGGATAAACAATCCAGCGGGTTTTCTTCCTTTTGGGGGGTGTTGTACATGCTGCTATGGCGGTGTGTCTACTCACAGGATGAGTGGCGCTGCACAATATTGTCACTATAGTGGTGAATCCACTCAAAGGATGAGTGGCGCTGCCCAGTACTGTCACTATTGCGGTGTGTCCACTCACAGGATGAGTTTCCCTGCACAATATTGTCACTATAGTGGTGAATCCACTCAAAGGATGAGTGACGCTGCCCAGTACTGTCACTATGGCGGTGTGTCCACTCACAGGATGAGTGGTGCTGCCCAATAAACTCGTCCCTCTGGGCAGAATTAAATTACCATTGTAGAAATAGCATTTCCGTGTCTTGTGGCGCTACCGACTACTGCTTATATGAGTGGCTTGAGCACCTTATAAGGTGTTCAAATTACTACGGTATGACCTGACTGATGAATACCTTGTGTATTTTTTTGTGGTGGAAGATAAACTTACACAGATCCTCGATACCAACCTATTTGTACTCACGCTTTAATGAATACCACTATAGCCAATGTTTTTTTCTCTCTGACCCCTGGAATCTTTTGTAGAATTATTCCATTTTCTTATCAGAAATTTCATGTTTAGATTTATTTATTTTTTTTACTAATAAAGGTTTATAGTCTACCATTTTATTATTGAAAATGTAATTGAAAGGGCTTTGCGATTTAGGCTCTAATGATAACACTTATACCAGAAGGTTAGCCAGTATGATCAAGTTCGGTAAAAGTTATATGCAAGGCCGGATATGTGTCCCTCAGGCGGCGACAAGTGCCACTCTAAGGCACTGCTAGCGACGGGAGACTATACCTATTAACAGTGACTTGACGTCAGCATGTGATTTTAAATATTAAACTAGCAAGAAATATACACACTAAATGGGGCCCAGTTATTATTTTATCATATCAAATTTTCAGACATATTTATTCAGAGAAACTCACCATGAACTTTTATATAAATGCATTACGGAAATGCATTTGATGGACAACATTTACATCTCACCTTGAACGTTCTGGAGGAGGAGGCCGGAGTGGAGTTGGTAAGTGTCCTCGGGGTCCAGCTCACTCCCCAGCCTGCTCCACACGGTGGGTCTGGGGGACTTACCCACCACCGGGGAAGGTACCAGCACGCTTCCTCCCTCTGGCACCGATAAACACGGCGGCAAAGGCACTACCCTGAAGCTTGGCCGGAAGAATCTAAGGCGGATGGTTTGTCTTGCGATGAGCCGGCTGCTGTGGAGGAGGTTGCAGGCGTATATCCCCGCCAGAGACTCGTCAAATCCCCGGAAGACTAGGTAGGAGTGGGGCAGAACGAAGCGCTCCTGCACAGTGAAGATCTTAGCGGTGTTGACGTCGACCCGGGCGTAGGGGACGAGGGGTCTGCCGTAAGGGTTGGTCCAGACCACTGCGTAGGGCGTCCTGCCCGACGGCTGGTTGGCGAAACAGTACAGGAATCCATCCTGATCTTCGCGGATGATCTCGTCAGTACCGTTGATGATGCTGAGTTTGGGCAACGGACCGTATCTTCCCATAGGCATAGAACTTCCGTGAAAGCTATCCACGAGGACGCTGAGACAAATAATTGTCAAACTGCATGTTCCTGCTAAGGTCTTTACGGGCTTCCTGAATACCATTGTTGTACAGATTTTCACAGTTTTGACAGCTCTTGTAATAATACTTTCGTATTTCCAGAGTTTGTAAACAATCTCTATTATAATTATTTCCTATATATATGTCGCATTAAACTTTTTACGTGAAATTATTGCAGAAAAACACTAAATAGATTTACGTCATATGGTTAGAACTAAATCACATTGTTTTAGTTCACAGTGTTATTCTTGTGCTCTAAAACAAAAAATTCACTTGGAAATAAGTCGTGAAAGTTTGCGAGAATCCTGACTACTTGCAGTCCAGATGAAGAGTGAGGTTGTCGCGTGTGGTCACGGGTGAGTCTTTGGCGAGGCGGGAGCAGCACGGGAGGAGCCTGGCGTGCGCACGCAGGCACAGCCAGCCCGCGCCATGCACAGGCAGGCACAGCCAGCCCGCGCCATGCACAGGCAGGCACAGCCAGCCCGCGCCATGCACAGGCAGGCACAGCCAGCCCGCGCCATGCACAGGCAGGCACAGCCAGCCCGCGCCATGCACAGGCAGGCACAGCCAGCCCGCGCCATGCACAGGCAGGCACAGCCAGCCCCCGCCATGCACAGGCAGGCACAGCCAGCCCGCGCCATGCACAGGCAGGCACAGCCAGCCCGCGCCATGCACAGGCAGGCACAGCCAGCCCGCGCCATGCACAGGCAGGCACAGCCAGCCCGCGCCATGCACAGGCAGGCACAGCCAGCCCGCGCCATGCACAGGCAGGCACAGCCAGCCCGCGCCATGCACAGGCAGGCACAGCCAGCCCGCGCCATGCACAGGCAGTCACAGCCAGCCCGCGTCATGCACAGCCAGCCCGCGCCATGCACAGGCAGTCACAGCCAGCCCGCGCCATGCACAAGCAGTCACAGCCAGCCCGCGCCATGCACAAGCAGTCACAGCCAGCCCACGCCATGCACAGGCAGTCACAGCCAGCCCACGCCATGCACAGGCAGTCACAGCCAGCCCGCGTCATGCACAGGCAGTCACAGCCAGCCCGCGCCATGCATAAGCAGTCACAGCCAGCCCACGCCATGCACAAGCCTGTTGGCAATCGTTCAGTTGCAGAATGATCAGTTGCCTGCCATATATACATGCCGTAAGCGTCCTCCAACACACCCTATCTTCCTGGAGGGCAAAATTCGGCGTAGCAGTAACCAGGGGACCAGGAGCTTGTATCATCTTGGGGAGTCTTAGTGAATGGTGTGGATGTCTTTGAGTTTAATTAACATCCCGAGGCCCAGTTATCGGTAATACTTGGAAAGTTACATTTATAATGTCACCATTTACTGGTTATTTCTTCTTTACTTAATCTAGATAGCGTGATTACTGTTATTCACTTATTAAGGTTTAGAGAAGATGGGGGACTTGTTATATAGGAAGATATCTGAAGGAGGGAGGGGTCTTGAGTTTAAGGGAAAAGGTAGGGAAATGAAATGAACTTGATTGGGAGGAGGAAAAAGGATATAAATAAACATGCGGGGTAAAGGATAGCCACAAGGACAATGGAAATGTATGGTATGGTAGTTTCAACTTGTACTGAGCGAACTCGTGATTTCCTAAAAAGAATCCTTTAGGATTAGGAAGATTGCAAAGGTAATCTTTGCAAGCTAAGATTAGGATCTTTGCTTGCCCTGCTATGCGAATTTCATAGTTTCTTTTTGTTATATCTCTTTTTTTTTAACATTTCTAACCAGTTGTACGAATTTCTGTTCTAAACTGACTTCCCCATTCTTAATCCTTTTGTACCACGGTCTCTTTTTACCAATAAGGTGCTTCAGATCGTTTGTTATCCACCAAGATATAGCTGAAGAACAACACCAGGTGTCTTGTTACTAACGCTTCGATTAATAAATCCAAGTGTCTTATTTGCCTTATTACGAACATTCATGCATTGATCTTTTGGTTTTAAATTCTTACTAATCATAACTCCCAGATCCCTTTCGCAAAGACAGAGGGTCATACATAAGACAATATGTCTAAACTGTAGGCGGAAGCACATACATATATCATGGTTACAATCAATGTTTCAGTGTACGAATATGTAAATAAACTTTCTATTGTGCACTGCCACACAAGGGCAGGGACGGGTTCATAAGAGATGCACCTTAGAAGTAATATAAATAAAATTGTTCTTCATTCTTTAAAATGGACAAGCAAATTTTGGATAAATTGTTAGGATGTCGTCCAGAACACCTGAGTCAATGAAATAGTTACACAGTTGGTGGTACAATAGGCCAGGAGGTCTAAAGTCCTTTACGGTTTCACATTCAACAATATAGTGTTCTAGTGAATGCATTAAATATTTGTCACAGAGTTTACAATCTGAATATTCTGGTAGTGGCTCAGCCTCACTAACCTGCCAGATGTGCCTATAGCCAAGGCGAATTCGCGCAATGACTACATCACATTGTCTGGTTCGGTTACTATGCTGACCATACAAATACCTATTATTACAAAAGTTGTCATAGCTTTTAATACTGCAGCTTTCAGGTCTCTGGGCATTTCTTAGTCCTAAATCTGAAGTAATTTCTTCAAATTTATGTTTCTAATAATTGCATTAGATAGTCTAAAGTCATAATCAGTGTTTTCTTTCCTGCAAGCCTCATTGGCCAATCGATCTACAGAGTCATGTTTTCCAACTCCATCATGGGATGGGATCCACACAAATTTTATACAATAGTTATAATCATTGGCAAAAATTACATTCCATTTATATTATAAGCTACTTCAGATATAAATTGTTATGGGTTATTTGAGGACCACAGAGCACTTTTAGTCAAAGTGCTTTGACTAAAGCACTTTGTGTAGAGAGTGACTGAGTGTGGAGTTTTAGCACTTTGACTGGAGTGCTAAAGCTTTTTAGCACTGCACCCCCATTGAGCATAAGGTACTCAGTGGCTAGATAAATTACCCCCTAGCTCAGTCTGTGTCGTGCTTGCCCTCTGTGTACTAGACATGATCATTTCATTAAGATTAAAGATTCTAATACAAATCTTCTCAATATTTCATGTTTTTCTTCACTGTCGAGGGAAGTTGAAAAATTAAATTTTAAAAATTAATAATTTTGTATTTGTAAATTTTATATATTTCTATTAGGAAGAGCAATCAAGTTACTAAAATTCATGGTAAAGAAACCAGTAATTATTGAAGGATTTTTTCTACGGCGTTTTGTTCCTCTCTGGAACATCTTAAAGATTTAATACAGGTGTTGTTTTAGATTTAGCTATTCAGAACGAAATGTGCATGTAGCACATGCTATAGTGAGCTATATATTTTATATTTTACGGACTATATTTTACTAGTTGGGTTATATATTAACATCCAATGACTCAAGTTACAATCTGAACTTCGTTGTCTTAGTGCCTGTTCAGTTGTGGTTCTCTCTGCGCTGTGCCACGAACTGGAGGAAAGCTTTTCTTAATATTGTGGAGCAAGCTTTACCTTTCATTTACATCAGATCGTGGTGGACGTATTAGTTTGCTTGTGCACTGACTTAGATATATTTGTATTCAGTTTACACGTATATACCGTAAATGTTAATTAAATTACTTATAAATTAAGAGAGAGCTTTTGAGAACTCTTCAGTGTAGTAGAAAAAAAAGTAACTTCTTGTATATATATTTATAAATAATTTCTGATGGAAGTTGGCTATGTCGCGGCGTGTTAAGATTTCGCCACGGCTGTCGAGACAGTAATTATAGACGAGTGAATCTCAGTGTTGTTGAACAGCAACACACAGGTGTAGTCTCCGGCGTATGTGTTACTAAAATGGTTGAAAATGAGGTAGGAGTGAGGGACATATGTCCCGCCCAGGGAGTACACGTCGCGGTTATTGGCGGACCATCTGGCCACCGTGTCGCCTGTGGAGTTCCGCCACTGGACCTGGTACCGGCTCAGGTTATCCGTGGGCCACACCTCCGCCTTGCAGAACACAAAGGCGTTGTCATTGTAGCCAATATCGATGGAGCTGCCGTTGACAATGACAGCTTGAGCCAATGAGTTTTGAGGGGGCAGCAAGGTGGTGGAGGATAGCAGGGAGAAGAATAAGACTGCTACAGGGAGGTGCTTGATCTGCATGGTTAAAGATCTTCCGTTATATCCTGATGATGTATCTTGTTTAGTATTAAGTGGCTGGGGATTTATTGTGAACTTTCGCTGTTCGACTAGTTGTAAACTCTCGGGTGAAGTCTGGCTGTATTCTATATTAGTAATGCTAGGCTCCAATTCGTTTATCGTATATATATTAGTCTGGCTGTGTTTTATATTACTCTATATTAATAATTCTTTGTTCAAATTAGTTTATCGTAAGTATATGTTAGTCTGGCTGTGTTCTATATTACTCTATATTAGTAATGCTTGGTTCCAAATCGTTTATCGTATATCCATTAGTGATCGAAAACTTAATAACATGTTGTTATTATTTACGTAACGTTAAATAATACAGGCAGCTAATAGTTAACAGCTGCCAAGTATTGGCCTTACCAGTGGAGGTGTAATCACCGATATGCAGACTAACGAGCTATTATGTCGGCATGGGCGATAGGTGGCGATTACCGGGTGGGGTTGTGGTGGCGATTGGGCAGTGAACTGTCATTCTCTCACCCTATTAGTGAAGTACAAGCTGGGGTTGTATTATATTTTATGTCAGATGGAAAATTTATTTCTATTGACCAACACCCGACTGCATAGACCCATTATGAATAATTTAAAACCGACCATTAGAGTTCCTGTGACTAAGTATGTTCAGATATGTTGAATTTCTATACTTTATTTGTGGAAGATCTTTAGATAAGATAAGAGTGACAACGCTCGGCATGCAAATTGTTCTGAATATCGTGATGAGACAACAGGTACTCTAGGTGCAGCCTGCAGCCGTCTGCCGCGCCTGATAACCTGGACCTAGACTCACGAAGCTCCAAGCCTTTCTTCGTAAGTAAGTGTGCCACGAAGGTTCTTAAGTATTGCCTAAAAACGTTAGTACGTCCGATTCAAAAAGATGTACGTGCGAAGATTTTAGCAACTTGTCTCGCTAGATATCACTAGGGATTTTCGTTTGGCCAATCAAAGAGAAGGTAAATTTTTTTTTATCTTACAGCTGTAGCCAATCACGACGTTGGAATATCGGAGCTCATCCGTTGTCACTTGCCACCTATTTATGTCGGATTTTCTTATAAAATCAGTATATTTCGAAATTAAAACTATGTTTTTTCAACTTCTACAGCCAGCACCGACATTGTTGTTAACAAATATGTTATATTTTTTGTTTACCTCC